GCACCAACAGGCTGGACACCGCGCAGATGGCGATGATCAGGTACACGTTCACATCCACCAGAGCGGCCTCCGCGCCAGCGGCGCCCGTCGACGCCCGCGAAGAGGCCTTGGGCGCCTGGCCGCTGTCCTCCAGCGACAGCAGCACGGTGGCCGTGGCCGTCAGCGCCGGCTCGCCGTGGTCCTTCACCAGCACCAGCAGGCGCTGGCGCGGCGCGTCCGCCTCGTCCAGGTCGCGCGTCGTGCTGATCTCGCCCGTGTACAGCCCCACGCGGAACGGGCTGCGCGCGCCACCCACCGCCGGCTGCAGCTCGTACGACAGCCACGCGTTGTAGCCCGAGTCCGCGTCCACCGCGCGCACCTTCGCCACCACGTGGCCCGCGCCCACCGACCGAGCCACCAGCTGGCTCAGCGCGCCCGCCCCGCCGCCCGGCCCGGGCAGCAGCAGCGCGGGCGCGTTGTCGTTCTCGTCCAGCACGAACACCTGCAGCGTCACGTTGCTGCCCAGAGGCGGCACGCCCGCGTCGCGCGCGCTCACCTGGAACTGCAGCAGCTCCAGCTCCTCGTGGTCCAGCGGCTGCAGCGCGTACACCTTGCCGCTCTCCGCGTGCACCGACACGTAGCTCGACAGCGCTCGCTCGCCCACCCGCCGCTCCACCAGCGAGTAGGACACCAGCGCGTTCTCCCGAGCGTCCGCGTCCCAAGCCGACACCGTGAAGATGTGGCAGCCGGGCGGGTTGTTCTCCTTCACCAACACCGTGTACTCGGGCTGCGCGAACGCGGGCGCGTTGTCGTTCACGTCGGCCACCTCCACGGACACGCTGGCTGTGGCCGACAGGGAAGGCGAGCCCGCGTCCCGTACTGTCACTACCACCTCATAGTTCGCCACGCTCTCGCGGTCCAAGGCGCTGTCAAGCACTAGTGAATAGTAATTCTTGAAGGTGGACACCAGCTTGAAGGGGCTGTGGGGCATCAGGGAGCAGGTCACCTGGCCGTTGGCGCCGGAGTCGCGGTCGGACACGCTGATTAAGGCGATGACAGTGCCCACCTGAGCGTCCTCTCGCACCGGAAGAGCCAAAGAAGTGACGGTAACTTCTGGGGCGTTATCATTTATATCTACTATTTCTACCAAAATGGTACAGTGACCCGCCATTGGAATATTTCCCTTGTCAATTGCTTCCACGGATATTTCATACAATTTCTTTTCTTCGAAATCCAATTTACCTTTTGTCCGAATTTCTCCGCTGCTGGGATTTATGGAAAACGCATATAATACAGTAGGCGATACAGGTCTTCTAAATGAGTAGATTATGTCTGCATTTGTACCATCATCAGGGTCTGTGGCATTTAGTTTGATCACTAATGTTCCATTAACTGCATTCTCTAACATTCTCACTTTATAAATTAAGTGGTCAAATTCTGGGGCGTTATCATTCACATCCAGGATTGTAATCAGCAGCTGAACTGTGCCGGTCAGCTCGGGTTTGCCTCCATCACTAGCTGTCAATAATAAACTATGTTCCTGAATTTCCTCTCTGTCCAATGATTTCCTTAACACAAGTGATAACGAAGACGTTTGTTCACGGTTGTTTTGTGTGTCCAAAGTGAAATAATCGTTGGGATAGACTCTGTAGGTCAAGGCGGAGTTTACTCCAATATCTGCATCAGATGCGCCATCTAGTGGGAACCGAGTTTCCGGAGGTCTAGATTCAGCAATGATTATTCTTTTTTCACTTTCAGGGAACACAGGTGGGTTGTCGTTAATATCTGTAACTTCCACCTCCACATGAAACACCTGCAGCGGCCTATCCACGATCACCTCCAGGTGGATGCTGCACTCCGCGCTCCGCCCACACAGCTCCTCCCGGTCGATCCGAGAATTCACAAACAAAATGCCATTCTGCAGATTTACCTCCAGAAGGTCCCCGCGGCCTTTGGACGCCACCCGGAACAGGCGCGGCACCAGCTCCTCCAGCTCCAGCCCCAGGTCCTGGGCGATGCGGCCCACGAAGGTGCCGTGTTTGGCCTCCTCCGGAACCGAGTAGTGGACCTGGCCACTCCCCGCCTCCCAGGCTGCGAGGAGCAGAAGCGAGAGAAGCAAAAGCCGAGCTCCTGGGCCTCCTCTCCAGGAAGACAGCATGGTACACTCAAAAGCCTTCAGAGATATCTGAAGTATATAGACTACCTTACCTCAAATGCCTCTCAAGGTCTAATTTTACGGCTTCTATTGCGGGAGAATTCACTAGAGGTTTTCCACTATCTGCCAAATTTTCTGCGGGGAAGAAAGAGGGGAGGCGCTTTCTTCGAGGAATTGTTCTCAGTGAAGAGCGACACCATGCGCATGAATGTGTAAGTGTAAAAATGACTCGGTCCATATTTTCGGTTGATGTAGGGGGTTTTTTTCCTTGCATTTTTTCACAACATTTTTCACTGCAAATACGTAATGGAAGATTAAATGCTTTTCTTTCCAGCAACAGTGAATCACTGTATTCTGCTCAGCACTGGATGCTAGTTGAAATTGGTTGATGAGTTCCATCTTTCCACAAGTACATTTTTGCATGCGTAAAACGTGGTGCAGAATTTGTAAAAAGAGGTAATATTCTACATTTGCTTTTAGAACTCAGACTCTAGCTCTGCACAGCTTTGTAGATTTGGGTGGGAATGTCCTTATCCTGTAATATTTTTGAGACCTATTCACACAACTCCCTTGACTCAAAATGGAAACATAACGAATCACATAAGAATAAAACAGATGAATGTGGAAATTCGGTAACTGATACACAAGATTTTCAATAAACATAATATTTATAAATTCCCCCAAATATGACTGTGAAATTTGGATAAAATATTTGTATTCGAAGGAAATGTCCATCAATGTATGAGTTTGTATGTGCATGTGTGTGTACATAAACACACAATGTAGATCATTTAGATATAACAATTCTTTAAAGTTCTGGATTCTCTTTATATAAAACATGCCAAGAACTAGTATATTATGTATTTACTAGAAATGAAATTACTGCCAATAGGTTAAATTTCCCTCTTCTCTCTCCGTATCTTACACCATCACTGGAGAAACTCCTACTATCATTTAAACTGACTGATTTTCCAAGTAACAACAGGTAGATACAGATGTTAACACATCTCTAGCCAGGAAGAAAGGAAGGGACTCTTACTTTTATCTAATACTGTACCTATCTTTACCAAGTCACCAAGATCCAGGCCAAATAGGGCTAGGAAAGAAAGAACATAGCTCCAATAATTCTCTTGCCTGTTTTGTGCACAACTCTGCAGGAAATAAGAGTTGGGTTCATTTCTGAATCTTTGTTCCCCTCTGAAAATGTGAGTAGAGCATTTGGTATTCTCTCACCCTCATCCTCCTCATTGCTCCATTACTTTTATTAACATACGTTTACTCTCATAATGGGAATAGTTTTTTGGTTCTAATTGTTCTTGTCTATCAGGCCCTACCTGTCTCATTTATCTCTCCACCTAACCTAGACTACACAGTCAACCATTTAAAACATGCCCTTCCAGACACCCTAAAGGCACACACCTACTTATAGCACCCCTCTAACATTTTCTTTAGCTTCCAACACACAGCCTAACACTCCGTTTTTTCCATTCCTTCTACTGAGCTTCTCAGTGTGTTAGTCACTTAACCAGGATTACTATATTCTCTACAAGTTTACTCTCACCTTTACCTCAGTTGAGCCCTCAAGTGAATTCATAATTCCTGCCTGCAGAGATTCTTCCATATTTTCTTCTCTCTTCTCAAATTCCCAGCCTCATTCCCACAACCTGGTTCTCAGATGATTTACCCAGAGATATGTCATCAAATATGAACTCAATGGCTCTCTTCTTATGTCAACATTTTTCTTTACATTCTCTATTACTCATTCCCTACTAAGGAAAAATCGCCCTACTTTTATGGCCAACCCTATGCTCTTATTTTTTTCTCTATTCTATTCTCTTTCATATTTTTCATCTTCATCTTCATTCTTTCTCTGCCTGTCTCATCTTCAGTATCTCCCTCTTTACTTGCTTCTTTCCCTCTCACTAAAAGACACTATGGAAAGGCTTTGTGTGGAAGAAAGTTACAAGATGTAAAATGCACGTTAGAAGATTCACCTGATAATTGTGTCAGAGCAGTAGTATGCCATAATGAGTTGGTGATCCTTCAAAACTGAGTTTGAGCCACTTTGCACAGTCTATGTGGCTTAAGTTTCAGACTTCTTAAAGTAAAATTCCGATGATAAATATTGTCACTCCTGCACCATAGGAGTGATATGATAATTAAATAAGATAATACAATTAAATATCCTAGAACAGGTCCTGGAAAATAATAGGGGACCATTAAGTACTCTTATGTTTTATTGAATCAAAGAAAGGTTATTAATTGTAAGATGCACCATTACTTGTGTGCTACCAAGAAAAAAAAGCCAACTAAATTATTGTAAACCATCAATTACAAGGTGTATCCTGCTTTAGATGGATATTATAATATTTTAATGTTATTATATTTATGGAAGTAAGAACAATACTGTAGCCAATCCCAATTGAAAGAAAGAAGGCACTCCATGGGAATAACATAAAATTATTCATCTTAGCAATAATAACATAATTTTTATTATTGTTATAATACTCAAAAGGAGATTTACTGGAATTAGATTGGTAGACAACAAGGCTATTTTACAAGCCTATGCACATAAAGAGCAGTAAAGGAATCCAGTTAATGATGTCTGGGAACTCTCTGCACTAACCTTGCAAATTTTCTTTAATCGTGAAATTAAGTACAAATTAAAAATAAATTTGAGTTATCAGAACCTAGACAGTTTTTACTCAAACGTACTTATATCTTTCAAGGCGAACCATTCATAGATAATATGAAAAATTATAGAACGAGAAAAATTTTAAATATGGTGATCCATGGCTTCCATTTCATCTTTATCTCATTATTTAATATTACTTGAAAAGTTGGGCTAATACACGAAAAGTTCAAAATGACTAATATACTTGAATGATATCAAGGACTTACTTCACTGGAAGGACTTAAACAATCTTCTCCTAACGGTGGAAGACAGGGACTGAAGGCCATGAGATCTGCCTTGGGCGGCCCCTCCCCAGAGCACACCCGCTGCCGCCTCTGCTGCGAGTAAGACCAGCTCCCCACCGCGCTGGAGCACACCAGCGTGGGCTTCCCGGGCCCGCGCGCGCCCTCGCTGGGCGGCGCCGAGCACCGCAGCGCCGTGTACAGCAGCAGCGTGAGCACCAACAGGCTGGACACCGCGCAGATGGCGATGATCAGGTACACGTTCACATCCACCAGAGCGGCCTCCGCGCCAGCGGCGCCCGTCGACGCCCGCGAAGAGGCCTTGGGCGCCTGGCCGCTGTCCTCCAGCGACAGCAGCACGGTGGCCGTGGCCGTCAGCGCCGGCTCGCCGTGGTCCTTCACCAGCACCAGCAGGCGCTGGCGCGGCGCGTCCGCCTCGTCCAGGTCGCGCGTCGTGCTGATCTCGCCCGTGTACAGCCCCACGCGGAACGGGCTGCGCGCGCCACCCACCGCCGGCTGCAGCTCGTACGACAGCCACGCGTTGTAGCCCGAGTCCGCGTCCACCGCGCGCACCTTCGCCACCACGTGGCCCGCGCCCACCGACCGAGCCACCAGCTGGCTCAGCGCGCCCGCCCCGCCGCCCGGCCCGGGCAGCAGCAGCGCGGGCGCGTTGTCGTTCTCGTCCAGCACGAACACCTGCAGCGTCACGTTGCTGCCCAGAGGCGGCACACCCGCGTCGCGCGCGCTCACCTGGAACTGCAGCAGCTCCAGCTCCTCGTGGTCCAGCGGCTGCAGCGCGTACACCTTGCCGCTCTCCGCGTGCACCGACACGTAGCTCGACAGCGCTCGCTCGCCCACCCGCCGCTCCACCAGCGAGTAGGACACCAGCGCGTTCTCCCGAGCGTCCGCGTCCCAAGCCGACACCGTGAAGATGTGGCAGCCGGGCGGGTTGTTCTCCTTCACCAACACCGTGTACTCGGGCTGCGCGAACGCGGGCGCGTTGTCGTTCACGTCGGCCACCTCCACGGACACGCTGGCCGTTGTCGACAGGGAAGGCGAGCCCGCGTCCTGCGCTGTCACCACCACCTCATAGTTCTCCATACTCTCGCGATCCAAGGCGCTGTCAAGCACCAGCGAATAGTAATTCTTGAAGGTGGACACCAGCTTGAAGGGGCTGTGGGGCATCAGGGTGCAGGTCACCTGCCCGTTGGCGCCGGAGTCGCGGTCGGACACGCTGATCAAGGCGATGACGGTGCCCACCTGAGCGTCCTCTCGCACTGGGAGCGACAGCGAAGTGATCATTACCTCGGGGGTGTTGTCATTCAGGTCCAGAACTTCCACCAGGACCGTGCAGTGACCTGCCATAGAAGGAATCCCTTTATCAATAGCGTTAACCTGAATTTCATACTCATTATTCTCTTCAAAATCCAGTTTCCCATAAATCCTAATTTCACCTGTTTCTGCATTTATTGAAAACATACATTTCTCACTCACTGGCAGAATCATTCTGATTCCATAGGAAATTTCTCTATTTGGTCCTTCGTCTAGATCAGAAGCGTTTAGTTGAATCACTCTGGTGTTGTTTGGGATATTTTCAAACAGCACTACTTTATAGCCAGGCGTATCAAACTCAGGAGCGTTGTCATTAACATCCAGGATGGTTATTTGAATCTGAACAGATCCTGTTAGTTCGGGTTTACCGCCATCCAGAGCGGTCAGCAATATATTAAGTTCTGGCATTTCTTCTCTATCCAATGACTTCCGAAGAATGAGTTCAGGCAATATACTTTTATCGGTTTTCGTTATTACTTTAAGAGTAAAATACTCGTTTAGACTTAACCTATAGGTCACAAGAGAGTTTAGGCCGATATCCGCATCGGAAGCGCCCTCTAGAGGAAAACGAGAGTCCAGAGGAGCAGATTCAGAAATAAGTACCTTTTGTTCTCCTCTGAACACCGGCGGGTTATCGTTAATGTCCTTCACCTCCACCGCCACATGAAACACCTGCAGCGGCCGGTCCACGATCACCTCCAGGTGGATGCTGCACTCCGCGCTCCGCCCGCACAGCTCCTCCCGGTCGATCCGAGAATTCACAAACAAAATGCCATTCTGCAGATTTACCTCCAGAAGGTCCCCGCGGCCTTTGGACGCCACCCGGAACAGACGCGGCACCAGCTCCGCCAGCTCCAGCCCCAGGTCCTGGGCGATGCGGCCCACGAAGGTGCCGTGTTTGGCTTCCTCGGAGACCGAATAATGGACCTGGCCGCTCCCCGCCTCCCAGGCTGCGAGGAGCAGAAGCGAGAGCAGCAGGCGCCGAGCTTCGAAGCCTCCTCGCCAGGAAAACTCCATTGCAGACAAAGAGATCTCTGAGGTGAGACTGTCAGCTTTAAGAGATAGCTCGCCTGCCAACATTTATGACCAGTCTCCCCTTCTGTAAGTATATATTTAGTAAAATTTACCCAGCATTCCTGTCAGTATGGAGTCGATTATTCTGTGGATGGTTGAAATCTGGGTGTGGAGAAAAAGTTTTCCCTTTTCACCTTTTGAGTGTACAGCGACATCATGTGACTGATTATGTAAGTACAAGAAAGATCCTGAGGTTCTTTTTGGTTTAGCCACTTTTTGGTTCACTTTAAATCTATTTTGACTTTTTGGATATTTTCATGGATCATTTGTAAATGCCTATTTATTTAATATACATGGTATTTGTAACAAAGCACAATAATTCTATTATACTTCAATTTTTAAAATACTCTGCTTCAAAGTCGATCATAAAATAATCATTGAAATGTGGCATGTCAGAAGCTAAGGAGTACTTAGCTATCATGGCCAATAAAATAAAGAATAATATACATCACCTCTGCCTTTATATTGCTTACAATTCACATTTGTAATGATTTTCATCCTTCAAAAGCACTTCATTCTAAGACTTTAGGAGAAAGCCAAGAATTCCCTCATCTAGTAAAGGAAAAGAAACAAATATTTCATTCATATATTTTATTCATAAATCTGGTGAATATTATAATTCATCATAAATATGGAAGATGTTTTCGGTTCCTTGATGCTCAAATGTGATTACTTTTCATACAACTGCTCTCATTCACATAATATGTTAAAAAAATGAAGCTTCGGTATGGATTCTGGAATATTTTACTCTAGCAGGAGTAAAGGATTTTCCTGTAAAATGTTGAGTCAAAGCCTCCAAATTTCATAGTATTCTGAAGTGGCAGTAGAGCACTAATATGAAAAAGATCACGTGAAATGTTTTGGAGCCCAATCTCATTGACAAAAGTCAAAAAAATATGAACTTCATAATGACCATTTAGTTTCCCTCTAAATCTTTCCTTTCAGGACAGTTAGTAGTTACACAGAATATGCTTCTCTTCAGAAAATCACAGTGGTGACTATGATTCAAGGGAGAATAAAAAGACTTCAAAATTTTATTCATTAATTCAAGACCAGCTTTAAGGGAAAACAAAACACAGATAAGATCCCACAGCTAGTTGTGAACAAGTAAATATATTATTTATAAGTTCATTTAAATTCAAATCAAAATCTTTAAACCAATAAGTTATCACCATTCCTTTTACATATAATAAAGGAAACTGAGAAATTAAATCTTTATAGAACCAGAAAATAATAACCAAGAATAGTTCTACAAGTATAAAATAACTTAAATCAACTACCACACTGGCTCTTAATTAATGAAAAACATATTTGAATTTGATGCTATTGGACTATTTAAATTGTCTATCACCATCAAGCTTTTTCATTTTATATCTTCCATATTCAAAAATAGTCAATGTACCGTAATTGGTAAGCAACCTTATTGTAGTGTGTAGGTAGTCCTCACACACTGTTAGACATAATTAAATTATTAAACAGATAGGAACATCTAAATTTAGCTTAATACTTAAACAATCAAATTACAAAATAGGATGAAATTACAATTTTACATCATAGAATATAATCCTGAATTTAAAAATAAGTATAAAAGACACTAAATTTGTATGATAGAAATTAATCCACATAATTTGGAATTATCTAAAATGTGCATTGAGTACTTATGTACTGTGTAAAAGTAATGATTTGCAAAATTTTAACCTTTACTTAAAACATTCCAATTTCACATATATACACTACCAAATGTAAGGTAGATAGCTAGTGGGAAGCAGCCACATAGCACAGGGAGATCAGCTCGGTGCTTTGTGACAGCCTGGAGGGATGGGATAGGGAGGGTGGGAAGGAGGGAGATGCAAGAGGGAAGAGATATGGGAACATATGTATATGTATAACTGATTCACTTTGTTATAAAGCAGAAACTAACACACCATTGTAAAGCAATTATACTCCAATAAAGATGTAAAAAAAATTCCAATTTCATTTTATTAAATTTAAATGACGTTCAGTCATTCCAAGAACTTCATTGGGAAATGGGTTATAATGTATGTCCTACCTAACATCCACATTTATTTATATTTACAAAATTTTGTAAGTGATATGATGGTTTAATCACTTTTGAGTCTGAAATATTTCATATTTTAACCTTGTTGCCTAATTTGGAATAAAGAATGTTTTTAGACAATTAATATTGAGAAACAAAGTTTCATAAACAGAGGTCCAAGAATGAGCTTCAGCATGGGATCCTTGAATATTATGCTAAGTGGTATGCTGTGTAATTTTAAGGGGAGAATGGCCACATATGACTCTCATCAGATTCTCAAAGAGGTCAGTGATTCCACCATCCTACATGTGGCTAAGAACCACTGAATTAGAAGGATGACCTAGAGGTAAATGATCTTTGCTAGAATCTTCAGATGTGGTTAAACCACATGGAAAGAAAATTTTACAAACACCAGCGATAAAGCATTTAAAGATAGGGAATTTAAAATGTTAGATGAGGGAGTTGAGGTTAGCAGATGTAAGCTATTATATACAGAATGCATAAAAAACGGGACCTACAGAGAACTATATTCAGTATCCTATGATAAACCATAATGGAAAAGAATATAAATATAAATATATATATATATATGTTTGAATCACTTTGCTGTACAGCAGAAATTAACACAACATTGTAAATCAACTATAGTTCAATTTTAAAATGTGAGATGAATGAAACTGATAAATGTCAATAGGCTTCACTTTGACAGAGTTAACTTCTTTCCACATAAATCCAGAAACATAAGAAATAATGCCAGCTAGCATACATTGCAGATATTATGATCCTATATGTATGCCTTTAGCAAATTTGAATAACTTGATTGAGGAATATGAATGATTTTATTTGCCTAGTTACTTTGGAAGCATAAACCTGGAAGTTCTGTTTCAGTACACAGTACATAAATCTCTCCCCACTTCATGGAACAAAATTAAAAATGGACAGAACTTTTAGTTATATTATTTCAATGAAATAAGCATACTAGAACAAAAGGCTGCATTTTACTACTGCAAGTAATATGGAAACAGGTTTTATCTTATTGGTAGAGGAAAAACTAAAGATTATTCAATGGACGATAACTGTTTAAAACCATAGAAAAAGAAAGGAAAACACCTTCAAAACAAATTAAGAGAATGACAAAATTTTGATACAAGCCTGAAGTGAGAAAAGTCAATGATCTAATAATGTGAAAATATCAAGACAAAAGCCTGTTAAAAAACAAAGAGGAAAAAAAAAAAGAGGATAAGTAAAATTTAAATATTCCACGGTGAATATCTACACTACTGAGGATTAGAGTTGGAATGAAGTGACACAGATCAAATAACAGGAAAGTCATTCTTACATTTTCTTAAACATGTTCTAACAAAACATTAGGAGAAATAGGATATTTATTGGCTAAACAACCTAATACCTCATATGATTAAAATTGTATATGCATATCATTGGCATTTCACGAACAAACGCTGTTCTTTAAAATGATACTCAAAGTAGAGAGCATTCATTAAAATTTTCTTTGAAACAAACTGGAATTTAAAAATTTTTAACAGCGACTTCAAAAGGCGGGAATCTATAGAACTCACCTGCCCAGGGTGATTTGATCCTGCCTCCTGCCTTTCCTCTCCGACTTCTGTATCCAGATCGGGAGGAAGGCTGGGGCTGAAGGCCATGAGGTCTGTCTTGGGCGGCCCCTCCCCAGAGCACACCCTCTGCCGCCTCTGCTGCGAGTAAGACCAGCTCCCCACCGCGCTGGAGCACACCAGCGTGGGCTTCCCGGGCCCGCACGCGCCCTCGCTGGGCGGCGCCGAGCACCGCAGCGCCGTGTACAGCAGCAGCGTGAGCACCAACAGGCTGGACACCGCGCAGATGGCGATGATCAGGTACACGTTCACATCCACCAGAGCGGCCTCCGCGCCAGCGGCGCCCGTCGACGCCCGCGAAGAGGCCTTGGGCGCCTGGCCGCTGTCCTCCAGCGACAGCAGCACGGTGGCCGTGGCCGTCAGCGCCGGCTCGCCGTGGTCCTTCACCAGCACCAGCAGGCGCTGGCGCGGCGCGTCCGCCTCGTCCAGGTCGCGCGTCGTGCTGATCTCGCCCGTGTACAGCCCCACGCGGAACGGGCTGCGCGCGCCACCCACCGCCGGCTGCAGCTCGTACGACAGCCACGCGTTGTAGCCCGAGTCCGCGTCCACCGCGCGCACCTTCGCCACCACGTGGCCCGCGCCCACCGACCGAGCCACCAGCTGGCTCAGCGCGCCCGCCCCGCCGCCCGGCCCGGGCAGCAGCAGCGCGGGCGCGTTGTCGTTCTCGTCCAGCACGAACACCTGCAGCGTCACGTTGCTGCCCAGAGGCGGCACACCCGCGTCGCGCGCGCTCACCTGGAACTGCAGCAGCTCCAGCTCCTCGTGGTCCAGCGGCTGCAGCGCGTACACCTTGCCGCTCTCCGCGTGCACCGACACGTAGCTCGACAGCGCTCGCTCGCCCACCCGCCGCTCCACCAGCGAGTAGGACACCAGCGCGTTCTCCCGAGCGTCCGCGTCCCAAGCCGACACCGTGAAGATGTGGCAGCCGGGCGGGTTGTTCTCCTTCACCAACACCGTGTACTCGGGCTGCGCGAACGCGGGCGCGTTGTCGTTCACGTCGGCCACCTCCACGGACACGCTGGCTGTGGCCGATAGGGAAGGCGAACCCCCGTCCCGCGCTGTAACCACCAATTTATAGACAGACATGCTCTCGCGGTCCAGGGCGCTGTCCAGCACTAGTGAGTAATAGTTCTTGAACGTGGACATGATCTTGAAGGGGACGTTGGGCGTTAGAGAACAGATCACCTGTCCGTTGGCACCGGAGTCGCGATCAGATACACTGATCAGCGCAATGACCGTGCTTGGCTGAGTGTCCTCCCGCACTGGAAGAGACAGGGAAGTCACAGTGACTTCAGGGGCGTTATCATTGGCATCTAAGATTTCGACCCAGACTGTACAGTGACCTGCCATTGGGGGATTCCCCTTATCTGTAGCCTGTACGTCAATTTCATAAACCTTGTTTTCTTCATAGTCTAAAGTTCCATTGACCCT